GAAGTGCTAATTTCTAGCACGTACTGCCGGCAAACACTGGTTCATTATTGCAACTTTTGCTTGTGAAAAACTCTCTAATGACGTGCGGTTCTTAAGAACGTGAAGTTCTGTTGGTGTAAGCAGCACCACACAGGAACGTGACTCCTGTCCATACACTACTGCAAAAAAAAGTTTGCAAAAGAACGTGATTAATGGTCCTCTAGAGATATGTTGTAAAGCAGAACAGCTCTCAGATATCACATAATCCTGGTGTCTTTTCAGTGGAGGAGAAATTCGATCGAAACGAATCAAACTTTACAATAACTGAGTAACTTCACAACATAGCATTGCCTACAGAGCTAATATTAGCAGTATAGAAGAATGGCTTATGCAGGTGCAGGAGCCAGGCACAAGTAGCATCATAATAAAGTTATGCTAGTTAAGGGATCCTTCTAAGCTGCGAGCTGGCAAAAGTTATACGATGTTAAGAATGATCTGCAACAGGATTCCCCCCAGATCCGTTTGCGAGGTCTGGATAGAGCACGGGTTCCTGCCTTCGCGTTTCCTCTATGGACCCGCGGAAAGGAAATCAAACTAACTTCTTCAACCAGCAACTCTTTTACTTCCGATAAGCAGAACTACTAATAGAAAATTGAAATCATCAAATTCAACCAAAACAATAAACAATTTCGAGAATATTAAGGACTGACAAAAAGAGCACTCACTGTCAATCTTGGGCGCGCTCACAGTCACCACCGGGACTTCGTTCACAGCTACCGCTTCTGTTGGCTTTGATTCTTCTTTCTGGAGCTGTTGGAGTTTCTGTGCAGCTTCCTCCAGAATTTCCGGAGTGTTATGGTCAATAATAACTGGTTCTTCATCAGCCTTCGTGGCGACACTGTCATTAACCTTCTCATTGGACTGATGTGGAGGGTTGAACACCTCAACGCTGACGGGAACATCTCCTTGATTTGGAGGGTTAAACACTTCAACTTTCACGGGAGCATCTTCCTGCGGTGGCTGCTCTTTTGGAGGTTCGACTTTCTTGGAAGGATCCTTATAGACTAGACTTATCACGGCTGGTTCTGCTGCGGTAGGTGGTTGACTAGGTTTGTTAGTGTCCTCTTTTGTGGCGGGATCCTTATAGACTAGACTTATCACGGCTGGTTCTGCTGCGGTAGGTGGTTCACTAGGTTTGTTAGTCTCCTCTTTTTTGGCGGGATCCTTATAGACTAGACTTATCACGGCTGGTTCTGCTGCGGCAGATGCTTGACCAGGTTTGTTAGTCTCCTCGTTTGTGGCAGGTTGGGCGGTCTTGGGCGTTTCCGGTTCGTCTTTACGAGGTTCCTTGTCTGTATGAGAATCCACCTTCTGCTCTGTTGTTGGGAGTGGCTCGGACGGCTCCTTCCGAGATGCGCCATTACCATTATCTTGACCTCTGAACAGTAGACTGATTACTATAGCATTTCCTCCGCCGTTCTTCTGACCAGACTGCGTGTCATTCGCCGCTGGCACACCATTGGGTACTGCGTTGGAACTCGGAGTTGAAGCGGAAGAAAGGGTTATAGATCTCGACCGGTACATCTCCTTCACGTTCCTCGTTCTTCGATTCTTCAGTAGGATAATATCGAACTTCGGTAGATTTTGGTTGAAAAACCACTGGGATTTCTATGAAAGTCTCAGGTTCTTCTTCGTCAGGTTTTGGAGCAGTTGTAGAGGGAGCATCAGCGGTTGGAGGTTGATCAGATGCTGGTATCGAGTCGTCCTCGCGAATCCATACGATATCATCCATGAAGACACCGAGGCAATGCGAAATGATGTACACTGCGAGACCGCCCCACCTCTCCGCTCAACGCCGGCATCTTTTTCACATGACTTATGCCATTGTCTCGTCAATAAAATCACGACTCAGCGCAACATTTAGTGGGCCAGCTCAAAGTACGCTCAATTTACAGTCAGTTTACCTTAAGGTCTGCTCTAGTCTGGATATCCGCACTCAGGTTCTCCAAAAACAAGTGCAACGGTGAAATATTATGGGTAGTGCGGTTCAGTTGTGAAAGTGCAAGCGCTAAGTAAAGTGAAGGAAATATGTCACGTCCATAAACAATCGCACAGTCTCATTGTACGAGTTTTCCGGACTCGCTGGCAAACCAACATCCTACGGTTTGTGCACCTCCCAAAAAGGCACCAATCATTATTATTACGGTACTTAATACACTGGAAAACACTTTGCGTCCGACGAGCTGATCTTAAGACGTTTTGATTCGGGAGTATTGGTGTTTAGATTCCGCATTCATGGAGATGGATCAAAAAAAAACAAACATCATTACCTTCCTCCCTTTTGATAGTTCGCACTTGAAGCACAGTACGAGCTTGACCA